CCGAATGTAGCATCTAATTCGGAAAATAGCTAAAGGGCAATTACTCTTAATTTTTCACTATCTTGAGCTTTTTTAATGTGTTGTACTTTAAAAACTATAACACCTAGACATTTCAAACCTAACTAGATTATTCTGTACTGACAGCAGAATAAATAAAACATTTGTGAAACCTTCTAATTGGTTTGTGAAATTTGTGAAATGTCAATAATAGATTCCAGAACGCATTAGATCTGAATTATTAAATTGGCATTATTTATCATTTTAACTTTCCGTTTTCTTTCTTTTTTTTTTTATCTTTATTATAGTTGGAGTTGGACAGGAGTTGTTTGATGGCTTCCTGGAGGGAGAGATTGGCTGAGCTAATGTTGCCAACAACTTGTTGCTATCAACTTTTTTGCTTTTCTTTATATAGAAAGTATTTCTATCAGTTGCTCTTTTTCCATTTTGTATACAGTATTTGCTCTATTTTTTACCTTAATGCTTACCTGGTCAGTTGAGGTGGAAATGTACATCCTCTTGGTTACTGACAAATGTCAGAACCACATGGACTGAGCTGGTTACATCAGATCAATCTGAATCTATTTTTCATTAAAACGACTTCTTGTAATTTTAAGACGTTGTTAAATTTCATCTTTATTCTGCTGTAACGATGACTGCATTCTTGCAATTAAAATTTCTTGTATCCTGACCGTAATGCTCCCTTATACAACTCACAGAACAGATGATTGAAATAAAGGCACTTTTTGAAAGTATTTTCTGTGATTTTATTATAGGAATTGAGGGCAGGAGGAATCGATTAAAATCAAATCTGGTATGAAAAAAAACCTTGTAAGTCATATCATCCAGCCTTATTCAGTATATTAAATTATATGACTAACTACATATTGCTTAATATTCACATTTCTTTGCTGGTATTACCTAAATGTGTTGCATTTTAACATCTCACTTGAATTCCTGATCTACATGCAAATACTTGATATAACGTAAACACCGAGAAATGGGGAAAAAAAGGTTTGTGAAATGTAGAGTATTACAAATGAGATTCAATTTTATTGTAGGTACAAACTGGATAGCAAAATGAACAGTGAATATATAATATACTTCCTAGCTCAGACATCAGACTTGTTTGCCTTTATTGGTGATGAAAACTCGTCATTCTGGAGGAGAGGAAGAGCGGCTCAGCCCCGTCCAGGATGACTGCAGTGTTAGAGTAGCCAACAAAGTCTGCAGGTAGATTTTTGCATATCTGGTGCTCCGGTTTCAAGATCATAGTTTAACCAGGTACTGTAAATAAAACTTTAGTCCATGTTGTGATGATCCGTGTACTGATGGACGCCGTCAGCTGGTCCAGGTGCTTGGATCCAATGGAAAGGTAATCAGCACAGCGATCATGGCTCAGAAACACGAGGTGTTGCGATGCAAACCTGAAAAATTAAAAAAACAAAAAACTAATAAAGTCCATATTTAGCTGCACAACGTAATCAAAACTAATAAATCCTCAGCTCTTTTTGAGAGTTTTGCTTGAAAATAAATTGACAATATCTCAGGAAATTAAATGTTTAAGTGAAATAGTTCTGGTATCACAAAGAAACTGCAAAAAATGTTTCAGAGGTGTAACAACACTGAAGTCACTGAGTAAGAGTGAAGTGAAATACTACTTAGAAATGCATGTTAAAATCTGAATACCCTTGAAAGTGTGCAGCTGAAATTAATTTAAACTACTGGCAGGCAAAGCATAATGTTCGCCTAATATCTGTACCAACAGTAAGACAAAAAATGATGCATACAAGAGGCATTAGTTTATAAAAGTCGAGGCAAACCTAAATTTACCATTTTAAAAACAAAAAGCAGCGGGAGGATGTAACTTCATAACCTCATTTTCTAAGCAGAATCTCAGAGAGAGAAAAAATAACTTACGTCTGTGTAACGCAAGAAAAGATTAAAGCAGCCAAGTGGAAAAATTCACTCTAACGTGGATTATAAATATGAATCAGCAAATGTAGATGTCATATTTTTGGGATTTAGGAAATACGTGATTTGAACAATTTGTTCGGTGGTTTTTCATGTGGATCGGTGAAACTTAAACGGCTGTAAAGTGAAGGTTTTGGACGTTAATCTGACCGACTACCTGTGTGGTTTGGATCGTGTTGCTCGGTGTTGGTGAAACAGAAAAATGGAATAATTTTCAGGCTGAAGCGTTGCTGCCCTCGGTTCTTAAATTACCCTGCTCGGTATAGGAGGGGCTCGTCGCTCCGA